GCTGACCGTTATCTCCTGTTGGCCCTTCGGGGCCTGGGAAACCTTTCTCACCTTTCTCTCCTTTTGTCATGTTCTTAATTTGTCCCAAGCTAAGACAATCACCTGTGTGTGCAAGACAAAAAGGGCCCAAGGCTCCTTGAGCGTCTGATAACTTGTATTATTAAAAACTGGATCATTGGATAATGCAATTCAAGACTTTTTATTGGCTTAGCCATTATGGTATATGAGCCAATATACCATAATCTAATATCTGTACATTGTAACATCCGGTTTCTTCTTACAAAATAAAGTCGAGAAGATTTGTCTTATATCTTGGGGGCGTTTTATTTAATAAAACAATTATTCCACTCGCGCTTGTTGGATATGAGATAATTATAGCCAACTCCGCGCTACGTCCCTCGTTGGCTATCTATCATCTTGTATCCAACGCGCGCTCGATATATATAAGGTTCTCGTAAATTGCTAAGTGGTAGCAAGCTTGACTTTTCAGTCAAGCGCCAATGTATACAATGGCTATTAGTAAGCTCTGTTGATGCCACATATGGTCAAAGACAACCGATATCTTTTACTCATTGGGTGTCGAAATCTGTTATACCTGTACTCAATAATTTGAAAATATCACTTCGTAGAACATTCAACAATGGGAGCTGGACAGAAATTTGTTCATTTTTCCAAGAAATATTAAAATTCTGCAGCAAAGCTGCTTGAAGCGTCTGCTAAATACAGGTTTTGGTTTACAAAAGGGCCTAATGTCAGTGTCTTTGTCTGATTAATGAGGTGTCTGTTGAATAGGGATTTGACTACAAAATAAAGACTTTGGAAGGTGTTCACCTGTGATTGGGTCTGCTAACCATAGAATTTCAGTACGTTTTTTATTTATTGTCCAATAAATGAGAGTATTTGCTGTACATTAGTTGTTTTTGCCTATTCATAATAATTTTTTTTTTATCATTCAACTTGGCTCAGTACTTACATCCAGTTCTGGGCAAATACGGCTGTTTGATAAATAAAATTTAAATCATACAAAAATGCAATTTTTAAGCAGATAAGCAGATAGCATATGTTTCGTTTCAATTTTCAGCCTCTCACAGTATTTGCAGTTCATTGTCCTATAGACATGGCACGAGTGTCAAGAATGAGCACAACAAAGGATACAATAGAGTAAGACAAATGCAAAAACAAAAACAAAAACAAACTGCAAGGTGACTCTTCCACTCCTTCCCAACAAATCAGCAGAGCTTGTCAATATGTCTGATGTAAGTTCGCTCTGTATGTGTGAATTTAGAGGTATTTCTAAATTTGCTTTGGCCTCCTTTTCAAAACGAGGCCTGATGCTAAACCATTCATATGAAAATGAGTTCAATTTTTCATCATACGAAAAAAAGGGGGACCAGGTCACGTTTTGAAAAAGAAGCCAAAGGTTAAATTCGGAAATGGGCTATTTGTATTGCAACTGAAACTGATGCTGTTATGAGAAAAGAGGAGGCGGTGTGGCTGAGTGGCTAGGGTGCTGGACTTGTAATCCAGTGTCCTGGGTTCAAGTCCTCCACCCTGCCACTCACTGGATTTGTTCTCAGTTGCCCCTGGTTCAACTCCTCAGCTGCACTCTGTATAGAGCCCACTGGTCAGCCTCCTGCCAGTGGGGATTTTTAAGCAGTTAGTTTACATTGCAGCTGAAAACCCCTGGGTAGGAGCTTCAATTTACGTATTTACTTATTTAAAACATTTCAAGAAGCCTGTCATTAGGAAACAGACTCATTAGCCCCACCTTTTTCACCCTTGGCACCTAAATTTCCTTTCTCTCCAGCAGTGCCTTTTTCGCCTTTAACACCATCTATTCCCTTAGGACCCACTACAGTCTGTCCTTGTTCTCCTTTAAGCCCTTTCTCTCCCTTGAGACCAGTATCGCCCTGTTTTCCATCCTTTCCGTCTAAGCCTTTCTCACCCTGAATCAATCAAGTGATGTGAAAAACAAAATAGTTCAAAACAATCCTCGTAGTTGATTGAACTCCTTATATTAGTGGGAGGCACAGCAGCCTAATGGTCAGTGCTCTGGACTCTGGGTCAACAGGCCGCGGTTCAAGACCTGGATGGTCCGATGTGTTGCATTCTTAGGTAAGACACTATGCTCGCACAGTGCCTCGCATGGGTCTTTGTGTCCCATTTGCACCAACCCTACTGGGTCTATGACTTCAATGAGTCATACCCAATAAAAAAACAACTTTTTAATGGGTTGTCACAGTGAGTGATACCAAGGGTCACAATGACAGTCTTCTGCTGACAAAATCAAATCCACATAATAAAAGAGACAAGATGCCTGGAGGTGTTAATCTGGGATGCCTTGGTCATTGTCCACCATCACTCTAGTTTTATGAGGAAAATAATAAATTTAATACTGATTCTTCACTGTGCTAGACTGAAATTAAAAAATACATACACGAAAAAAAAAAAAAAAAAAAAAAAGTCTGCAACATGGGATATTATGTGGGAACACCCATCCAAGTAGTAACTCTACCCAACAGGGCTCAAATGGAGCGAGAAGCAGATGCACAAGGCTAACAAGTACATGGCTAATTTCTTTGTCTGAGTACAATAACTAAAGTGAATTTTTAACGTGGTCTGCCATAGGCATCCCATGAAATAAGGGCAAAAATAGGTACCTCTAAAATATCTAGTGAGCATTCAGCAAATTGCTGGGTTAACTTCAAACTTTGAAGCCTTTCAAATTTCAAATATCTTCTGAATTATCTGTAAAAGCTATGAAACTTTTATAAAACAAAGCAAAATATTTCATGACCAAGCTAAATGAAAGGATCAATTTAGCATAAAATATAGATAGGCCATCAACCCTAACTCCCCCGTTATTAACATGTAACTTCTTTCCATGATATTTATACATTATGCAGCAAACAGGTAACGAGGATACTTAAACTTGTCAGGTAGAGGTTCTTATTTTGATCCATCACCAAATTCTCCTGACTAATTTACAAGGAAATATGTAGCAGCTAGAGGGGAGAATTAACAATCAGATCTTGGAGTTAAAGGGTTTAGTAAGAGTCACAAAACATCAACAGTGCTGTTAGTTGGACCAAGATATTGTCACATGCATTAAGCTGATTTCAAATTTATGCAAATGAAGGCAGACTGGAAGAGGAACAAGAAGAAACAAGTATACAACAGAAGGAAAACCTTGTACATGTACCAGCCAATCACCACTACCCAGAATGGTTCATATGATGACACATAAACAGTTGACCTCATTGCCTGAAGGAGACAAGCAGTGTGTAGCCAAAACATTGCAATCCACATTGGGAAGTGACCACATGATGGGATTAACCAATTACAATTCAAGACAAGTATTTTCACCATTATGAATAATAGCACCAATTTTTTTTACAATAGGAAAGGAGTCTTTGAAAAAGACAAACCTTAATTCCAGGCTCTCCTCTGGGACCTCGTTCTCCTGGTTGCCCTGATTCCCCATTTGCTCCTGGAGGACCCTGATCACCAGGAGGACCATCAGTGCCCGGTTCTCCTTTTGCCCCTTTTCCCCCTACCACTCTGATAACCTCTCCCTTTTCGCCTTTGGGTCCAATAGCCCCAGGATCACCACGATCACCCTGCTGACCCTACAAGTCAAAGAAAACATTGACAATATCAGATATTGAATAATCAGCAATCTCTCACTCTAGGTCAACCCATCTGAAATTATCTTGAGGTGTACAGACACAAGTCAATAAATGTACTACTTACTGGCTCTCCATCACGTCCACTGCGTCCTGGTGGTCCAGGATTCCCTGGGTCACCTTGAGGTCCAGGGTTGCCAGTTCTTCCTGAGTCACCAGGTTGGCCTGGGGAGCCCATAGTACCTTTTTCCCCTGGAGGACCTTGGGGGCTGGCTGGACAGCCAAGACAAGCTTCACCTTTGGGACCTTGAGACCCCTTTGGGCCATCTTCCCCCGGAGACCCTTGGGGTCCTTGGTCACCTTTTGGTCCTGGAGGACCATTACTGCTATCACCTTGGAGAGCAAAACATTTCTTTAAACCAAATTTATCACTTGTCACATTTTCTCTTTTTAACTGCTGAACATTTTCTGGCTGGCACAACCTTTTCCTAGTGTATGTGTGAATTAGTTCTCATCTCTGTAGTGGTGGGCTACCCTTCAGCTGGCTTCCAAAAGCAAATTACTCCAGGCATCCAACCTCACTTCAAAAACATTTTTATTACTTAATGTTTAAATTAACATTTAACACCACTGCAAACTATTCAGTAACTAGTCAGTAGGCCATGTTATAGTTGTGTACTTAGTTGCCAAGCCTTTGATTTAGAGTGAGGCTGGTGGTGACCTTGTGGTATAGAGACCAGTATCTAGTTAGCATCTTAACAAAGTGATATCCTTTCGAAAAGCAGCAAAGTTTGTTATCATGACAACCTATTCAAAGGCTCAGCAACCTAGTAGGCAACTGAAAAATAGATGATTCAATAGTCCTTTTTACAGTTGTGGGCTTGGTGGCCAAGCCTTTGAACAGGAGTGTTATGTTAGAGATGTTGCTGCTTTTCAAATGCAAATTTCTTTGTTAACATGCTAACTAGATACAGGTCTCTATCACAACAGGGTCATCCTTAGCCTCACTCCTGTTCAAAGGCTTAGCCACCAAGCCCACAACTGTAAAAAGGACTATTGCACTCTTGAAGTGTCCTGGAATCCCTATATTGGGGAAAGATAGAAATTTTACTCTATCACGAGCATGGGACCGCAGAGACATTCTTTACCGAGCTCAAAATGTATCATCCTTCTTATTCCCTTAACAAGACATGATTAGCAAAACTTAGCAGTATGCAGGATGTGTGACATATATGGGCCTGCTTGCCTTAGAGTCTCTGTGGCTGAGTAGTAGAGCATCAGAGCACAGAATACAAAGGTATGAGGCTTGATTCTTCATGGGGACTCTTTTCCACTCTTGTGACAAGATTAAAAACATCTTTCTCAACTTCTTTACCGAGCTCAAAACATACCTTCTCATTCCATTTTCAATCCTTATATAGACCCGACTTTCACAAATGGCTGCCAGATTAATATTCTTTTGTCTAAATTTAAAATTAATTAGCCCTACTGGCCTCGTTCTCCAGTAAAAAATTCAAAAGAATACATTATCTCAAGCGAGGCCAGAAGGGCTAATTTAAATTTAAACAAAAGAATATTAATTCGGCAGCCATTTATGAAAGTGGTCTATTACTCTTAGTTATTACCTGCTGGGCCTGGAAATCCTTGAGATCCCTTTTCTCCCCTATCTCCTCTTGGTCCAGGTGCTCCATCCATGCCTTGTGGTCCAAAGACAGTGACTCCACGGCCTCCTTTTTCCCCTTTTGGGCCTGGAAGGCCATTAGGTCCTGGCTCACCAGTTGAACCCTTAATTCCAGCAGCACCTAATCACAAATATATCTTATTAACCAAGCGCAAGGGCCGTACTGGGAGAATATCGTCCCGAGGTCCGTACAAAAAAGACCGAGGGCCGATATTCTTTCAATACGGTCCCAAGCAAGCTTGGTTAATTAGAGATTTATTATACGACTGAAGTTCAAAGGGACACAAGTGCAGTATCATTCGGGACAGTGCCCAGTCCAATACTGGGAGAATATTGACCGGCAATAGAGCATTTTGATTGGTTGATTTTAGTTATTGGCCCTCTGACTGCCTGAGTCGTGTAATAAAATTCAGTATTATATATATTTTTTTCATGATTACTTTTCTACTCTATTTACAGTATCTTTGAATCAAACCCCCAGCAACTGATCTGAATTGATCTCTTTTCATATCTGGCAGATGTTAACCATTCCATGCTTTAACTTTCTATCTTATAATTGGAAAAACTCATAGACTGATCATGTTTGGTTCATTACTATTTACAACAGCTTGTTGGTAATGCGATCAGTTAGAGTACTATGTGTAAAATATTTTTTTTTCAGTTTCACTTAAATTAAGGGGCAAACAAAGTAAAAATAAATTACAAAATGAACTATATACACTGATGAACAACATTTCATCAAACATCATGATGGTCTTGATTTTGTTTTAACTTAATTGATGAGTGTTTATATTTAAACATAAACATTGTCATAAAAGTTACTCCAAGTAGGAATGTTCCAAGATCTTGATCATCAAGATCACCCAATTTTTTTTAAGGTTTTCACCAGTGTATAAATTTGACAGAGTACCTTTGGAGGGTGAATTTTAATTTGCTCACTTGAGGTCAATAGCTATTAAAATGAACATCTAACTATTTGGGGAGCAAGAGTCACCTTGTAGGTTAAAAACGAAAGTCTATATTCCCATCCTGTCTATAACACAAGCTCAGTGTAAACAAGATCATGCTAGCCAGCCATGTCAGTATCACTGAGAACTGACAGATATTTTTAAGTACTGTTACCTAGGCTGGGTAAATTAATGTCCAGAGCTGAGTGAAGAATTAACCCAGCTGGGTTAGTGAGAAATTGATTTCAGATCTGAAAACTTGAGGAGCAAATGCAGTTTTAATTATTCATTTTAGTCTACAATTTGGTGATTGAATACTCTAAAAACAGAAGGGAAAATTATTCCAGAACAGCTTTTGGACAAAAATCTATAGGTAACTGGATTAAAATTTAACCCTGGGTTACTGCTAATTGACCTTCACATAGCTGGGCCCTGATCATCAACTAGCAGAGGAACAACAACAATTCTTTTCATGTAATTCTTTTCATGTTATATTGGTGAAACTAGTCGCCACTTCTCTACTAGGATAAAGGAGCACATGGAAAGCGATAAAAACTTGCATATTTTTAAGCATTTTAACACATCTTCTTGTAAGAACAAATACTCCCTTTCTTGCTTTAGAATTCTGGATTCTGCTAACAACTCAATTGATTTAAAACTCAAAGAAGCTTTTCATATAAATAAGATCAAACCTGAACTTAACAAACAATTACAGCATTATAACACTTTTCTAGCATTTTAGTTCACACCTTTGATGTTTGGTGTCACTTTGTAATTAGTACCCACTTTTGTATTACATCATATTGTAAATATTTTAATCATCTACTTGTCTGTTATATAATTACTCACGTTCTGTTACTCATTCATTGAAGATGGCATAAGCATGTGAAAACATGTCTCTCAAAAAAGTTGTCTATTTCTTACAATATTTATCATACTTGCTACCACTATGACCTAATTAATTTCTATCTTTATTACCAGGATCTCCCACTTTTCCTGGAGGTCCTGGAGGTCCAGCGTCACCCCGTGGCCCTTGTGGTCCAGGTGGTCCTGGGGGGCCTGTGGGACCTATATTTCCAATGTTGCCTCTTGGCCCACTCCTACCTGGAAAACCAGGAGGGCCTATGTCACCCTTGGGTCCATCAGGACCTGGTGGTCCTACTCCCGCAGGTCCCTAAAAGAGACGACTTCATAACTACCATGTTTATAAGCTTTATTAAACAATAGTCCAGAATTGTGCACCTTGACAAAACTTGGCATTAGCAAACCAGTAGGCCATGAGTAATTGTCTGTGAGTAACCCATGAAATATGAACAAACAAGTAAGACAGGACACGTTCACCCAGGGGTTGTGTTGATTGTTGTCTACTGTAACTCAGGTTTTAAGTGGAGAATAACAAATATAATGCTGACTCCTCAAAGTTCATGAATAAAATTGAAAAATATAAAGACAAGGAAAAAAAAAAAAGAAAAAAAAAAGAACATCATTGGATATTGGGTACCATTGCTCACCCAATTAGCAACCCCAGCCAACAGGACTTAATCTTAGTGAAAAACTCTAGCAGATTTTTAACATGGTTTATTGCAACAAGCATTAAATTCTATGTAACCAGTCATAAGGTTTAACTAAAGGTCATTGTTTCGCCCTCCGTTAACACCTTTATAGGAGAGACATCTTTATAACACATTGGGACACTGGTGGAATCAGTACCTACCCTGCGAGCAGAGCCTTTTCTTCTTCTTTTCTTCTTTTTAACCCTTCAAGGGAAAAGGCTCTGCCGACATCCTGTTGTTGCTTTGAAATGCCAAAAGCCCAAAACTCCAGGCTACTCAAGCCGGTTTTGCCTCCAGTCAAACCGGTTTTGGCGCGCATGCCTTTGTTTTTCATATAAACAGATAACTAAATCTGCACCCACAATAGTTCAAGGGGGCGTGGAAAAGGATCAGTTTCTAGGCAACCACTGCGCATGTTCAAACGAGCAACAAAAGGATGTCGGCAGAGCCTTTTCAGTCCCTTTTCAATTCAAGGCCAAGTTAAAAAGGCTCTGCTTGCAGGGTAATCAGTACCTGAGCCTTTCAAATTCAAATAAGTCAGTCATTATGAATTTAACTTTCAGAGATAAAAACTTACTCGGCTTCCTTTGTCTCCTTTCTGACCCGCTTCTCCTGGAGAACCTGGAAGTCCTACTAATCCTCTATCTCCTGGTGGACCATCATCTCCTTGTTCACCTTTGGGTCCCTGTAATGTTAAAATCCAAAGGGTACAAAGTCTTGTAAATAATATACACTTAAACTATCAATGCCATTGGTGCACAAGAATGAGAGCCTGAACCCTTGAAAATAATTAAAAAAAAAAGCAGTCCAGGGAACATTATAGAGACTAACAGACTCTTGTCATAATCACGTTTTCAACATGGACATCACAAAGTGTCACTAGGAAGCAAGGAGGAGGAGGAGGAGGAGGAGGAGGAGCAGCAGCAGTAGCAGCAGCAGCAGCAGCAGCAGCAGTAGCAGCAGTAGCAGCAGCAGTAGCAGCAGTAGCAGCAGCAGCGGCAGCAGCAGTAGCAGTAGCAGTAGCAGTAGCAGTAGCAGCAGCAGCAGCAGCAGTAGCAGTAGCAGTAGCAGTAGTATTTCCAAACACTATTTTATTTCTTCTTGAGGAGACAAATGTATGGGGCTGGTGAAAAAAGGCTTCAATCTATGCAAAGACAAGGCAATTTATGAAACATTGTGGAGAAGCAAAGGCTTGTGTCACAATAACTATTTTTTGTCAACATTAACTTGACATATTGTTGCGAAGGGAAATGAATATATAGAGGAAGGATTTCAAACAAGAAAAAAACAACAATATCACATTCTCTTACCATTGGACCATTCTCTCCTGGATCTCCTTTTTGGCCTGTCTCCCCCTAAAATATCAAGGAAACTCTTTTACACTACATAACCCCAACTCTGAGGTTAAACTTAACTAAGAGGAACCAATTTTGGGACTTTTGAAAAACTGACCACGTAAATAAAGGGTCACTGCTTAATTTGGAGGTGCTTAGATCACTGAGAAGTCCTGTTATAAGCAGTGAGTGAAAAATTACAGAATTCTTTAATAATAATAATAATAATAATAATAATAATAATAATAATTACAGTCTTTATAAAGGAGCCGTGGCTTTACCCAGAGATGGATTTCATGCAAGCCCTTTTTTAAAAACTAAAAACTCAATCTAAAAACTAAAAACTAATAATGATAATTACCCTGTTTAAACTGAATAAAATAGAGCTAAAAACTGCAGTCTCTCTTAAGTTGAACTAAACTTAGATAAAAAAAAAAACTGCCAAATCTCTCAAATTACAATAAAAACTGTGAGCATTTTTAAAACTGCTAACAGTTTCATTGTTTTTGGCTTCTACTGGAATTTCATTCCATTCCCCAAAAAACTTTACGCAAATTCGAGGAAAAGTTACTTTAAAAAAAAAAACAAACTAAAAAATTATATGTACAATACAGTCAAATGAATTTTGAACTCAGAGTTCTGTTTTCAGTCTTTGATTTGTATTTTTCCAGAGGTAATTACCTGATTTCCCTTTTGACCGGGTTCTCCTTTTGGTCCATTAGGTCCTTGGATACCCTCTGGCCCCTAAAGTGCAGATGAGTCAGAAATTTCATGTTAAAGATGCCACTACAACAAAAATGTGTACATATTCAGAAGGAACAAACTTGCATCATCTTTTTGACAAGGCACATCAATCCTC